CCGCTTGATCGATCATTGAGGAAAAAGCACCAAGTAAAAGTAGCGGTTTCCGACAGCCAAGCTGAAGTTGACGTAGAGTAACACCTCACCACATATTAAACCTGAATGCACTTCTTCACTTTTCAGTTTCTCTTACCGTTGCCATGAACTTTGGTGCGCCGGTTTTGCTTGCTGTCTTTTGTTCACCTATTCGAATGAAAAGGTGAATATAAAATAGTGCATTCATATAGACTGGGACAATGAGTAGGTGCACAAACACCACTGTTTGCGGCACTCAACCATATCACTCAGTGACTCTAACCATAAAGTATAGCGATCCCGAAATCACCATCCAAAAAACCTACCGTAACATATGTGACCGAGTCTCGCGGTCAGGGTTTTCATACCCTTGTGCCATGTATTGGTTTGACCACCCTAACTTTCTTCCAACAACTGCCTGCCTCACCGAACATCGCTCGCCGTAGCAGCCTATCTAGTGACAGGCGTAACACGTGCCCCAAACAGCGTAAATTATGGAGACCGACCACTTCCTTCAATGAGTGACCGCGAGTAGCTAAAACTCTACTCCTGACCTCCATTATTGCTTGTCCCAGTTCTCAGCCGGCTCATACAATGCGGCCTAGACAGCGATGTCTGAAGACTGATAATTTATTTTTATCCTTCTCCTTTAATAGCCAAGTCTCTAGCAGAACTGCTACAGCATACACGAGACCATTCACAGACGACTGAATGTCGCGACGGCACCACAGATGTACCTAGTTGGCAGATACCAATCGAGTCTTCTGTATACGTGCCGACACTTCGTCCGTATTGCGTCGGCCAGATGGGATATAACTGTCCAATTAGCAAAAGCTGTCTACTACCTGTACGACTCTCCCAAGAGGAGTTTGGTTTGGAGCTGGGACAACCCTGTCCTGTAGCAAGATTGTACTCTGTGAATGTGCGTACGCGTGTCGAACATGGTTACACTAGCACTGAACTTGTCTGGGAAAACCCGGAAGACCTGTCCTATGAAGTATTCCCCAACTGTATTGATTCGGTGCTTACCCAGAGTAAAGGTGAGGATGAGACGCAGTCAACCGCGTTTGCTTCAGGGAACGACTTACACCGGAATGGATAAGGAAGCACTGGCTGTTCCATTATCTCTATAAGAAACATTTCAAAAATCGTACGGAGCAAAAGTCTATTTCGAAAGTTGCATTACCCAGAATGCAGAGATGAGCATTAAATTTGCCTGATAAATTACAGTATAAAGCTTATACTGGAGAATAAAAACCTGGTTTCAAATGCAATAAGCTGACTTACTCTAAAGGAATATCTTCGCCGTGTGTTGCCTGCGCGAAAAACTGGTGCATCTCATGGATTTGGTTAATACTTCCCCAACATTACCGACCCGTTTGAGGGTCAAAACGGGGGGAAATTGAAAGTGGGTGACCCAGTGAGTTGCTAACATTTAATCTACTCGAGACCGCAAGGAAATATTTATTTGCATGGTGGTAGTTCGTCGTGGGGTAGTCGGATCATATACTCAACCAGAATGAAGAAAGCGATCTTAGAATGATTGCACTGATCTGTGGTGATCCAGACACGTGACCGCATTCCAGGCACGACCAGGTACAGCTTCATGTCATCCAATCACCGTTCAGGAAGCTTAGCCAATGGTACACCGTGCGAACATGAAATCCGAGGTAGTACATGTGATTCGTCGGCGCAAACGGTTACTTATTGGACGACGGTCCTTCAACCAATCATATGGCTTATTACCTTCTACAAAACATGCTATCAATATACATAAGCGTTTACTGCTATCAAATCTTCGTGTATTTCATTGGTGTCCGCAGTTCGGGTTGGAGCCAATCCAGTTCTGAGCATTACAGTACGGGTTCTCGTATTCCTACACTCAGTACTATTCCGATTACCACATGATCCCACCCCGGTGTAACTAGAATTCAAGCTTTAGTTCGGAGCTATGTGCGGTGTTCGAATATGAACGAGGTTCTCGAATAGATGGTTCGCACCTGTGACCCCTGCCAAAAATCGAGACCACAATGTTTTAGGGTACAGCTATATCCTTGACATTGGACTATAAAAGCCTGAAGGCGCCTAATATTAAACAATGCTTGTCCAGTCAATGATCATATGATACTAGCAGTAACTGACACAGTTTTCAGGATTGAGGGCAGAGGGCAGGGTGCCTGTGTAAGCCCCATCACCACTGGATCGAAGGTCCGATCACAAGTGTTCGTTCCTTCATAGCCCCTTCAGGTGTTCATCCAGATGCCGTTTGAAAGTATTGTCTGTCTTCTCTTCCACCACGATCGCTGGAAGGGAACTCCAGAGTGTTGTTGATCTACGCGAGAGTCGGTGGGCTAACAGAAGACCAACTGACTAAAGTTTCCGCAACGTGAGAGAGTGCCCCCGCGTGCAGTCCTCTGTCCGTAAAGGGAAGTACTGTTGCAGCTCCGGGCCCATGGCACCTCTCAGGATCTTCCTCAGGCAAATGAGATCTCCCCTGAGGCGTCGATGCGCAATTGGGAACAAATCAGTAGCCTGTAGACGACCTTCAT